TCTGGTGGTATATATGCATTTCCTACGAACAAGTCCTTCCTTCCCCGTTCCCCTGGTACCCTTATCCACATGCTTTCGTTGAATTTGGTGTCGCTGATCACCTCAATTACGTCGCACATGTGCTCTTTGACTAAGAATCCAACTCCCCCCTCCCCTTTACTCTTGATTTTCTGTCCTCTCCTCATTTTACCTATCCATGTGTAGCTTCCCACTTCGGTTCCTATTTCTCCCCCGTCCTTCTCCCACGACTCTTGGACTCCGAATGTGTCCAGGCCTTTCTCGGCTGCTTGCTCGGCAATTTCGAGTCTTTTACGCTCATCTGTGGCAAATCCGCATACATTCCAAGACCCTAGTCTGATTTCCTTACTCCTACTTTCTACTTTCCCGTGCCTTTCAGGGTTCCTTCTGTCTCTCGTTCGCCTTCCCTTCTGCCTTATCCTTTCGCTGCTCCCCCCTTCCCCTACTTTGGCTTGCTTTCCCTTTTGATCCTTTCGCACCTCCTGCCCCCCTTTGTTTTCAGCCAGCCTTGGGCGACGCCTTACTTCCTGGATCCTATTTGCTATGCACACCCTCCAACCTCCTCACCCACGCCGACATCTTCTCTACTTCCAGTCTTTCCCATTCTGCGCTTACTCTCCTTCCAAACGTGATTCTAAAGTGGTTTCCTTCCCTTTCTACCCCCCTCCGTGCGAAGCAATGTAATCCTACTTCTTCACATATACTTTTGAACTCCAACCTTGTCATGTCGTTTTTGACCCCAAATATCAACACTACCAGTACTGCACCTTTCCATTCTCTCTTTCTCCACCCTTTGTGCCTTGTCGTCTCCCTCCTTTTCTCTTTCGAGATTCTGCTGTACTGGGTACTTTCCTCCGGGGAGGTCATTTTCCCCATATATATAGGGTTCAAGGGTGGCTTGCATAACAGAAGGTCTCACTCACACATCGGGATGTCCGTCTCTTCCTTGATTTTTATGACATACAGACATAAAAATCTCCTCCTCATAGACGCCAGAGAGCACTACCTTCCCTGATGGCGGTCTAAGTCGACCCAGGGTTGATAAATGAGTTATGGTCATCAACGTTTGTACGGTACACCATGGGTAGCTACCCCACTGACGCTCCCGAGTAGACCTTCGCTGCCGAAAGCTTGACCAACAATCCCCCCACACTTTGTACCGGCGTCTATCCTTCAAGCTCCAAGATATCTACGTACCGCTTGGTGCTCCTTCTCTTTTGGGTCATTTGGTCGGTCATTTTAAAACAAGGTTCCTGAGTATGTTAGGTCTGACATTTTGTCTTGCATTATCCACCCCTCTCCTTGCGGAGAATTCAGGATGATAGTGTCTGACCAGATTCCCACCGCCCCATGAGAACCGGTAATGTTTTACGGTTATGTCACCACGAGTCCCCAACCTTCATGTGCATCGCACAGTTGACCAAAGGGATTGCTGTGTCTATATTTATGCTTCGTTTCCGTTTTCGTGTTGGTGTGTAAGGTGGCCAATAACCTTCTACTCTTGCTTACTTTTGCGTTTTCAACTGTGAAAAAAAAAAAAAATGGTAAGCGTCTGGAAGTGTATTTCGTTTAATTCAGTTATTTCATATCTGGCTTGTCATGTTTGTGTTAACTTTATGGGGAAATTTAAGGTCGGTTAGTTCAGCTCTTCCATGTCTGGCTTGGCGGGTTTGTGTTACGGTATGGGAAAAATAAACAGTTGGTTAGTTCAGTTATTTCATGTCTGGCTCGTCAGGATTGTGTTACGGTATGGGAAAATATAAAGTCGGATAGTTCAGTTTTACCGTGTCTAGCTTGTCAGGTTTATGTTACGGTATGGGAAAATAAAAGGTCGGTTAGTTCAGCTCTTTCATGTCTGGCTTAGCGGGTTTGTGTTACGGTATGGGAAAAAATATAAAGTTGGTTAGTTCAGTTATTTCATGTCTAGGGTCTGGTGGCTTGTTTTTCAGCGTCGGTGCCACGCGACGCCAACCTATTCAAATGTTGCGAACAGGGGATAGGGGGGGGGCTTCTACCAATGGAGGCTACTATCAGCGGCGAATGGAGGGGCGGCGCGGGCGACGAGGGACCAAGGGTGCAAGACAGATGACGACTTCTTGGTTGCAGCTACGGTGGGTGGTAGGTAGACGAATCTCGGGTTGACTTGCACTGACAGGTAAACACCCTCGCGAAGATAGCGATTTCTCTGGAAAACCGTGGCAGCAGAATCTCGGATCTTTCGTTCGGGCGCCATGAAACGGTCATTTTTTTCTGCAGGCATGCACTCCACGTGGCGTGTCAACAGAGACTCTCTGTCTGTTTCTCCTCGTCTACTTTTCTCTCGTTCTTGCTTTGAGAGGAAATAAGAACCACAAACACGGATTGGCACAGCACCAACACTCACCCCGCAGTCTAGCCCCTGCCCCCGGAAAGCGAAGAAACACGCATTCCTCACTTCTGGTATGCACGCACGCCCCTTGTTCATTTTACCGGTCAAATGAATCAGGCCTCAGACCGTACGCGGTGGTGTCACACAACGTGGTAGCTTCCATCGAACGCCAGGCTCCACAAGGTGTTGGTGTTCGACCTGTTCGACCACTGAAAGCAGGGCTGCACCGAGAAAGAGAAGCAACGCAGCACTCTCCTATCCCCTACCCCTAAAGCTCTGGCCTTCTTGTCATTGTATGCCCCGTTGTTCAGAGCGGCAACACCGTTCGGTGCCGTTTCTCTCGAAAGCACCGCAGTTCTGTTTAGAATCGGGATCAGCCTTGATTACCCCACGGTCCGGAGGAAGGAGGTTAGCGCGTCTCGCTTGTTGTTGTTGTCGTCATTGTTGCTGTGGTTGTCGTTTATTCGTCCCTTCTTCACGATATCGTGCATCTTTGCCTCTGGCGCGCCATCCTCTGTGCATTGTAGGCGCGGTTGAGGGCCGGATTACTCGACCAGTGCCCCCGTTGACACTCGCCCCCGTCAACCCACTCCGTCAAGTGCAGCCAACAGAACTCGAAGTGGCACCTGGAGCACTTCATGTGGTTGCACCCACCTGCATGCAATTGAAAAAGGGTAAAGGTTTGAAATTAAGTGTTGTCAATAGCGAAGCATTGGCGAGGTAAGCAGTCGACAACTCTACTCGTGCCTCGAGCGGTACACACTGGGGCACACGGATGATCACATGTATCCCCCTGCGTAACAACATAGACAGAGATTGACAGAGAGAAGCAGGTGTTGCGTTGTTCACGGGATGATGGACACTGTCCGGCGGGTAGAAGGGCGAACGGCATCACCAAGACCAAACTGTCGTCGGCGGTGCCTCTCGGCGGTTTGCCTCTTCAGTGATACTTTACTGATTGCTGCAAGGTAGTTCCTGCTCGTTGTTAGATAGCAGGAATATTGGAAAAAGAGTAGGGTCCATGCGGACGACACGCTTAAAGCGTAGAGGAAGCACCGATCCTTACATCCGTCCCGAGAACAATGGGAACTCAGGAGACCACCCATGATGGATGCAAGGACGTTCTTGGTGTCGTACACCTAGTTTCGTGCATTATCCCGAACCCTCGCAACAGAGGTTACGGGTGCACGTCTCCTTCCCTGCTCGACTCTGTCATCGAAGGCATTCGTTTGAGGTATAGACACAACGTAGCTGGGACACAAAAAAAGTAGCACAGCAACCGTTGCCGGTGCCCCCGGCGGGGAGGGCCATAAATCTCGGCGAGTTGCAGCTCCCCGCCGAGATATTGCTCGCGTCTTCCCCTGAAGACGCGGGTGCACAGAGGACAACAACCTTATCGTGATGTTACGGTTTCGGAATTCTTGCTCGGATTGCTTTCGACACTGACACTTGTTTGCGCCTCTGGTTGTGTGCGGGTATGCGCCGGCCTTCACCCACCATCTTTGAAGATGGGCACGTGGCAACCTGGGCACCTCTTGGTCGGTGAGTCGTCTAGTCCTTCGTCGTCTTTTTGCGACCCGATGGACGCTCTCGGTGCTGCCCCGCTCCCCTCCCCCCCCCCCCCC